ACGGGCCGGCCTACCCGGCTGGGGTCCAGCCCGCCAGGAGGGTGCAACTGCACCGCGGCGCTCAGGGCGGGCCGCCGGCTGCACGGGGCTGCCTGGCGGGCCGGCCTACCCGGTGCGCTGCAGGCGCTGAGGTTGATGCTTGCCAGGACCACACACCTGACGTGCGCTGGCTGGCGCTCTGCCAGTGATGACGCGTTTAGAATGCTCTCCTCGTGCGGGCCGTGCTGGACAAACCACCACCAATCGAATATGCCTGACATTCGTGGCGTTCGGAAGGTAGTCATCGTCGTACTGGAGGTGCCCGATGATGTTTCCATACAGCCTCGGCACCTCTACAATGGAACTCGGCGTGTCAAACAGCAGCCTCCGGCCGAATTCGAGCGACATCCGATGACGTCCTTCGGAGTGCTCGTATGTTCTCGACACCACCGGCATCGACCTTAGCGTGACTTTGTTCTGTACCCCTGCTTACCAAATTTGATCAAAATCGGGGATCTGTCCCTTCCCCATGGGGGACACGTCTCCCAAAGCCATTGTGGCCATTCTCTTCTGTGCTATCAGGAACTGGATAGCCCCCCCCCCTTTTTCCTTGACACATATGCGGCGGGCCTGGAGTCTTATAAGCAAGCGGACGCAAGGCCATAGTCACGGCGAACCGCAGTGCGTCTTGCGCAATCCGACATCGCGGTCCGGTTGTGTTCGGAGCTGAGCCGCACGAGGTCCCGACGCACAGGCCAGACCTTCGCCCGATAAGTAAGTTCGTACTACATAATGCACATCTTTTGACGCAGTGCACACTGGTAGTCCTGGACAGCGTGGTGCGGGGTGGGTAGGATAGAGCGTGGCATGGCAAAGCGAGCGATTAAAATGATTGTCGCAGGAAAGTTAGACATCGGCCTTGATTGATTGATTGAATAGTTTATTGTCAACATTAAAAGGACTAGAGAGTCCCGCTTCAAATGTAGACATGCTCGAGCAGGTAATTTTTTAACCTGTATACAGAGTTGGTAATTTAATCTAGCACGAGAACAGGCACAGAGAAACATGATAATGGATTATGGTTGCAGATATATCGCCTCAATTCTTTTTTTTTTTTTTTTTTTTGAGGACAGATATTGACTGGTCAAAGTAGTTACAGTATACAGCTTAAGTCTATTCCACAACTTGGTCGCTGGTACTGTAAAAGATTTACTGCATCTTTCGCTATCGGGTACTGGAATTTGCAACATTCGTCTGCTCGGCCGGGTTGTTCTCACATTTGCTGGAGGCGGTAAAATTGAATTGCTCGAACAGCCTTGACGGGGAATACTTCTCTATACGTAAAGCGGAGGACGGTACGTACGGGGGCAGATGATATTTGTAGTCCTACACTGGCAGTAGATTAAGCGGCATTCTTTTAGGTGCACCTTTTTATGTAATTTTGATCGTTCAAATGTATCGCGGCCTCTCCTGTCCAGGAGTGAGGCGACTAGATTTCTATCTAGTGTGAGGCTGCATCGTCTTCGCTGCAAAAGCAAAGCGGGTCCTGCTGTCATATTGCTGGAGACGCCGCGGCGCTACTCCGTGCTGCGGCGATACCCCTGCTGCCGCTGCGCCGACTGTGCAGCTCCCCGACTGAGCTCGCTCGCACGCAGTCGGCCCTGGGGGTGTAGTTGGAGTGTTCCTGAGCCTCATGACTGGTCTTGTGCCCCCCTGCAGGAGGCCACGGGGGCCATCCGTCCCCGACATGAGCGCCCCGAAGCGACAGCGTCCGGACGAGCAGCAGGCCCGGCGGGGCCTCAGCCTCCTGGTCGGCGAGCCGTGGAGGGTGACGCTGCGGGCGGGGGCCCGGCAGCTGACGGGGACCCTGCGCACCACCGAGGACCCCCGCACCAAGGCCTTGTCACTACGCATGGATCTCGCCGAGGTAGGTCACACGGAGGCCCGCGGCCGGGGGCCTCCCTCCGTACCAGTCTCACATCAGCTGACGCTGCGGGTTTGCCTACTCGCTCCGCCCATGGCCCCTACAGCAGCGTCCGCTCTGAAACACTGTCACTTACACACCACGGCTGTGCAGGACCAAGGTGCCGGCCGGGCCCCGCCACCTGCTGCAGCTGGCAGCTCTCTCTCTGCCGCCCCGGCCCTCCCGCGTGCTGAGGAGCGTCCCCGGCGCGCGACGGGCCCGCCACCTGCAGCTGCTGCAGCACGACGTGCATCTGGCAGCCCTCTCTCTGGCGCCCAGGCCCACAAGGAGTTGGATCTGCGTCGTATGAAGTGCAACGGACCCACGCACACGAAGAAGGACAGGAACGCCGCCCTGCGGGACGCGCTAGGGGTGAGTGTGACCTGGAGCAGCGTCACGGGCCTCGGGCCTCGTCACATTGCAAACAGCTCAGCATGTTGTCGGCATGCAGGCGCCCGGAGCCCACCACCTCCTGGGGACGGAGCTCCCGAACTTTCTGACTTACAGTTACCTTTTTGAAGAAGAAATTCAAAAGCACTAGGGGACTGTTTACGAGACTGGGACCGGAAGTCCAAAAGTCCAGGAGGCTCGTGTAGGGGTCACCCTGAGATGTACTCAGTACCTGTACTGCCGCAGGTGACGCGGCTGGTCGGCGTGATGTGCGAGTCGGACCCTGACACGGTCATCTGGAGCCGCCAGCTGCTGCAGCTCGCCGCACCCACCGTGGAGGAGCTGAGTCTACACGGCGCCAGAGACGAGCACCTGCGCGCGCTGTCCACCATGCCGCGGCTGAGGAGGCTGGAGATGCATGTGGACCCGACCCCGCCGCAAAGCGCGCTGCCGGAGGGACACGCCGGCCTGCAGTGGCTCAGCGTGTCGGGCCTGACCCGCGCCACGCTGCAGTCCCTGCTGCAGGCGCACGGCCGCTCGCTGCTGCAGCTGCAGCTGTGGGTGGGCACGGCGTTGCCCTCCAGCGACGTGTGGCCGCACAGCTGCAGCGACCTGCACTCGCTGTTTGAGCAGTGCAACCTGGCGGCGCTGAAGAAGCTCGTGCTGCAGAGGCAGGGGGTCGAACACGACCTGCTCCAGTGCGGCAAGCAGGTCAAAGACGTGTTTGAGGCGCTGCTGGGTGCGGTGTCCGTGAAGTGCAGCAGATGTGATGCCGTGGAGGTGGAGTACTTGTAGAGGGCGGTGAGCGACGGCCGCACCCCGTCTCGAACCCGACACCCCGTCTCGAACCCGAAAAACAAACGCACCTTCATAGCTCATTTGCTTCTTCCGGTTCGAGATTGACTTGAAGCACTGCCTTATAAATTTACAACATGCATTTTTCTGTACTATTGTTGCTTTTATTATGTAAAAACTTGTCATGATTGGCAAAGAGATGAAAGTTTCGTTTCAAGAAGAAATTGTCCGTGTTGCATTTCATAAATTTAGTTAAAAATAGCTGTAAAGAATAGTTTAGAACCCTTATTCTCCTGCAACCCACGAACCACCAACATCGGAAATCAACCAAACATCAGATTAAATTTATCCTTCGATTTATGGCACCACCAGCAGGTAGAAATAATGTGTATTACTTTATCAACCCAAATACGCTGCAGTGTCCACAAAACTCTTGGTCTGGGGTACGCGATCACCGCGGGGCATCCCCTCCCC